CAGAGCAGAGGCAAAGTGCTCGTCGGCTGGTGAGGCAAATCGGGAGATTTTTTCGGGGGTGTTGGGCAGCTTATCCACTGAAAACATGAAAATTGGCTGACCTTTCTGACAGAACTTGCTTGGAAAATCGCCATGCAGCTATGGCTAGATGACCTGATGGGAAGACAACAGCTCGCGGCAGAAAAGCCTTCAGACAGTCGCGCCCTGTCAGTTGGACCAGGAATGCAGATAGCTCCACTTTGGCAACTCTGGTTCGAATTGGAGAGGGCGTAGGTGCCAACCCTCAGTAACAAAGAAACGTCGAACAGAGGCTCTGAACAGTGGCACACCCAAGGGTTTGAAAAGACAGCTGGAAACACAGTAGACATCAGTAGACATCAGTAGGAACCATAGATAAACCATCCAAGATCATCCAAGATGAACTATACCCTCTGGTACTCATACAAAAAACTATGGAAAATCACCATGCTATCAATGGGTAAATCCACAAAATTCATCACCATTTTCAGATATTTTAGTAGCTTTTTGTATGTTTACCAGAGGGTACATGAACCATAGATGAAGCGAACAATGAAGATCCTGAGATGACGACTCAGGTCCCATCACCTACTCACGTTCGCCTGGTGCTCATCAGAGCCTGAATCGGGAACTGCGACAACGCTTGGTGGCGCAGGTGCGCGAAAAATGGTGCGCACCATGGTGGAAGCAATGCCGTTCCCAATGGATTTTCTTGTTTTTTTTGGATTAACGATGTAAAAATATGTAAAAATCATGGTTAACCATGGTTAACACCACCAATAACATCAATAACCAACGCTAAATTAGATGTAATATATTGTAATTAATGATGTAATGATTGCTTTTCCATTGCAATCCATTGCAATCCATCGCGTTTCTGTTTTTTTATGGAGGACATGGCGACGATCTTCTTCTTGCAGCTTAGCTCCATATGCCGAGAATTCGACATAGGGCTGCTGTGAGGAGCATACCCAAGTTGGGTGACAACCCCATGACTTTCATTTTCCAAGAGGATTCGCAAGCTATGTATACCATGTATACATATGTATACCATGTATACCATCTATACCATGTATACCATGTATACCATGTATACCATGTATACCATGTATACCATGCCTAAATGGTTTTTGAAAGGCATCCCATTGCAAGCCAGACGCAAGCAGCGTTATCCGCACTGGTCGAGGCTCTTCATTCTGGCCATCGCTGTTTGGGTCAGTTGTTTGGGTGTCTTCCAATTTGCCGACGATCCGTCCCAGGCCAGGTTGATTTTGGCGGACATGATTTTGGCCAAGCATTTCATTGCTATTTTAACATATGGAGGTTTTTGCTAAAATAGGGGCACCCCATAAATCATCAAAAATCATCATAGATCATCATAAATCATCAAACATCATCAAAAATCATCATAAATCATCAAACATCATCAAAAATCATCATAAATCATCATAAATCATCAAAAATCATCATAGATCATCAAAAATCATCAAA